TGTGAGCCCCTTTCATACACACCAAGTGACATTACAATAGCTCCCTGGTCAGCCGTATTCCAACAAGACTAGAACTGTCTGCATTGTCTTCGAATCAATAATTATTTATTGACATTGACCTTCTCTTAGTCAGAAACAAACATTTCAATAATATTTTGCACACACACTTCTGGCCAGATATGGTTCATCTGAGGCGGGTTTCACGAACCCTTTCTTTAACAATAAGCGATTATATGCAACGACTCAATTCATTAATTTGTCTCGTAGGTATAGCAAATTTTGCTCCCTATCTTCTTCTATTGCAATAAATAGATAAGAAACTAATTAATGACGCTTGCCTCGTTAGTGCTTCTTTATGATCAGGATAATGGTGTTTCGGGATAGCGACATCCGGTGAACATATCCATAAGAGTGCTGTGTAATAGCGGCATCCGGTGAACATATCCATAAGAGTGCTGTGGAATAGCGACATCCGGTGAACATATCCATAAGAGTGCTATGGAATAGCGGCATCCGGTGAACATATCCATAAGAGTGCTGAGGAATAGTGACATCCGGTGAATATGTCCATAAGAGTGCTGTGGAATAGCGGCATCCGGTGAACATATCCATAAGAGTGCTGTGGAATAGCGGCATCCGGTGAACATATCCATAAGAGTGCTGTGGAATAGCGGCATCCGGTGAACATATCCATAAGAGTGCTGTGGAATAGCGACATCTGGTAAACATATCCATAAGAGTGCTGAGGAATAGCGACATCCTGTGAATATGTCCATAAGAAAGCTGTGGAACAGTGCGATAATAGTGCATCCGGTGAACATATCCATAAGAGTGCTGTCCAGTGAACAGCGACATCCGGTGAACATATCCATAAGAGTGCTGTGGAATAGCGACATCCGGTGAACATATCCATAAGAGTGCTGTGGAAACAGCGACATCCGGTGAACATGTCCATAAGAGTGCTGTGGAATAGCGACATCCGCATATCCATAAGAGTGCTGTGGACATCGACATCCGGTGAACATATCCATAAGAGTGCTGTGGAATAGCGACATCTGGTAAACATATCCATAAGAGTGCTGAGGAATAGCGACATCCTGTGAACATGTCCATAAGAGTGCTGTGGAACAGCGACATCCGGTGAACATGTCCATAAGAGCGCTGTGAAACAGCGACATCCGGTGAACATATCCATAAGAGTGCTGAGGAATAGCGACATCCAGTGAACATATCCATAGTAGTGCCGAGGAATAGCGACATCTGGTAAACATATCCATAAGAGTGCTGAGGAATAGCGACATCCGGTGAACATATCCATAAGAGTGCTGTGGAATAGCGGCATCCGGTAAACATATCCATAAGAGTGCTGTGGAATAGCGGCATCCGGTGAACATATCCATAAGAGTGCTGTGGAATAGCGGCATCCGGTGAACATATCCATAAGAGTGCTGTGGAATAGCGGCATCCGGTGAACATATCCATAAGAGTGCTGTGGAATAGCGACATCCAGTGAACATATCCATAAGAGTGCTGTGGAATAGCGACATCTGGTACACATATCCATAAGAGTGCTGTGGAACAGATACATCCTGTGAACATGTCCATAAGAGTGCTGTGAAACAGCGACATCCGGTGAACATGTCCATAAGAGTGCTGTGAAACAGCGACATCCGGTGAACATATCCATAAGAGTGCTGAGGAATAGCGACATCTGGTGAACATATCCATAAGAGTGATGAGGAAGAGCGACATCCGGTGAACATATCCATAGTAGTGCTGAGGAATAGCGACATCTGGTAAACATATCCATAAGAGTGCTGAGGAATAGCGACATCCGGTGAACATATCCATTAGAGTAATGTGGAACAGCGACATCCGGTGAACATATCCATAATAGTGCTGAGGAATAGCGACATCTGGTAAACATATCCATAAGAGTGCTGTGGAATAGCGACATCCAGTGAACATATCCATAAGAGTCCTGTGGAATAGTGACATCCGGTGGACATATCCATAAGAGTGCTGTGGAATAGTGACATCCGGTGAACATGTCCATAAGATTGCTGTGGAACATCAACATCCGGTGAACATGTCCATAAGAGTGCTGTGGAACAGCGACATCCGGTGAACATATCCATAAGAGTGCTGTGGAATAGCGACATCTGGTAAACATATCCATAAGATTGCTGTGGATCAGCGACATCCAGTGAACATATCCATAAGAGTGCTGTGGAACAGCGACATACAGTGAACATGTCCACTTAAACAACAGAAGAGCTGTAATGAACAATCTGTCGCTAATTGGACACCACCGAGTGTTGAGTGTTGACTAAGCATAGGATTTTACATTCTGCTCTGTCAGGCAACCAATGTCAAGTTTGAAGTACAGGTAAACAAAATCACAGGAAAAACGTTTGATAAAAAGTCACGTCCCATATTAATAACTATGTTTCACAAGAAAAAAATGTGGTTACGTTATGATCCCTTCGGATTACTTTAGGGAGAGACTTTTTCATTTCAACAGCCTGTACCGGCCGCCATCTTTCCTGCAATAACAGGCACTGTCTGATTGTCTTGAATGTCCTCAATTTAGGGGAATGTAAAAGTTGTGACTTTACACTATTGTCTTTGATTCTATTCATCTACTGACGACAAATCATGATAACTTCAGCTTGTTATGAACAAGTCAGTAGCAAAGGTTATTCGGGCATGGAATTTTTTCATGGGTAATCTTGTTAATGAATCTTTAAATTTGAACCTGAGAAAGAATGTTGTACAATGGTAGAATAAACGCAACCAAGCAGCGACATTTGCAAGAAGCATGACAAACTCGAGAATAATCGCCATCAATGTTCACTTTCAAACTTACAACCAAATGCTTATATAGTAAACATCATTGAAAACGCACCGCTTATAAAAGTTCAGATTATTAAAAGCACGTGTAAGGAATTGATATTTTTTAAGTGGATAATAACAGATGGACGACTGACAAAAACAACAACACAGAAAAGACGCTGATTCATTGAAATGTTCCACAGTCAGAAAGGATCAAACACACATGGGGTCAAATCGAAAAGTCAATATCGCGTGTGACCGCCATTTGCATTGACACATGCAGTTCAACGTCTCCTCATTGAGTCAATAAGCGTCCGAATAGAGTTCTTGAATGACATTCCACATCTGCAGTAGTGCTGTCCCAAGTTCCCGGATGTTTCGCATCTGTTGTCGCCGCGAAAGACTTTGACCAATTTCGTCCCACAAGTGCTCCATGGGGTATACATCTGGCGACTGTGCTGGCCAATGAATAACCTGGATGTGTTGCTGGGCCAGATACTGCATGGAAAGTCTTGTTGTGTGTGCCCGTGCGTTGTCCTGTTGAAAAGTATGGACATCTTGGTGGTGATTGAAGACAGATACGATGTGATTCTGAAGAATCTGCTCACGGTAATAAAGGGCATTAACTCTCCCTTGACAGACATGAAGGCAGTCCTGTGATTGTAATTTATTCCACCCCAGACCATGACACTCCCACCACCCAAAGGTCTGTCTGAACCACACACTCATCAGCATAACGTTCACCACGTCTACGCCAAACACGTAATCGGCCGTCAGCATTACGTAGATGAAGACGTGCGTGACTCGTCAGTGACTACCACACCATGCCATTGTTGTAACCTTTACTGAAAATGCCTGCTAGCCCATTGTATACGCTCATTACGGTGTCTGTAAGTCAGAATTGGTCCAACGTAAGGACGTCGAGCATGGAGCCCTGTAGCGTGTAGACGGCGTCGCATGGAGTCAGCGCTGATGACCCCCACGTCAACCTTGAACTAGTGCAGCAGTCCTGGCAGTCGGCAGTGTTCAATCACTGATATGGACATGGTCAATATGGCGATCCTGATGGAGCGTCGTAACACGTTGTTGCCAAGGTCATTGAAGGTCACGGGTGCTGCCTGTCTACTGACGTCGTCTATGAAGCCTAACGATGGTGGAGTGGCCAAGTCCAAGTTGTCGAGCAATATCCCTGCTGCTGGTGCCAACCTGAATCATGCCTAGTGCACGTTCTCTTTCATGAGGTGTTAACCTCGGCATCTCTCGTTTCACAATCGTTAGTGAAGCAATGAGAATCGGTTCTCATACATCCGCTTTTAATGTCACAGTCAGTATGATTTCAGAATGTTGATGCATTTTGGAATTAAGAGTCATACTGTGGACAGGAATTTGTTTCTAAAGCATTTTTTCAACTGGACATGCCCTTCGGCCTCATGTTAGTTATATTCATTGATCATTGTCATGCTGAAATACATCTTGTGAAAATATGGACTGGTGCATTTTCAATGATGTTCAGTATATTTTGCACTCAATGAAGTTTTAAGAAGTGCAGAAGTCAGAAAGTACGCATGCCTCGGGGAAAATGGCCGATGGAGAGCTATAGGTATGCTTCGATCTGGTGCCTCGCAGCTTGTCAAGACCGATGGATTCGAACCATATACCTCCAACACATGTTCCAGGGAGCACCTGAGCGGAGAAGAGTTCTGTTCACCCATGGGTGACGTTTCCTTCTTCACCCAGCTGTTGGCAGGACACATGTCTGCAATCGCATAGTTGAACGTTACATCAGGCCTTGTGTTCTTGTCGATTTGAAGCCCGTATCAACACCGGTTGGCACTAAATCTTGATGCGTCGTTTTTAGTAAAGCAATCAAGTAAACGACCGTCCCGTAGTTGTTGCCCACCAGTAACAGGCAAGAGATAGCGAATGCTAAGCCACGATTCTTAAATGAAAGGTGGGCGTCTATGTCTTATCATATGGTCCATGTATTGCAAGTCATGTGGAGAAATGTATCGCCAAGATGCAAATGACAGAATATTTGACTCGATGTTCACAGAATGTGACAACAATCATGAAACAGCATACGTGCTTATTCTAACTAACCGTGACGATGAGCATCAGAAATAGATGTCTTTTGTTGTAAATCTCAGGAGACGAAGATACATTATCAAGACGCTGGAAGTCAACTGTACACTGGAGGAGAAGACATGCATTGTGACACAGCAAGGAAGATGGACCTCGCAGTTCTGTGCTTAGCTGTCCTAGGTATGAAGTACCCTGTAACATGTAGCACCTGCTTTGACATGGACTCTTCACTGATGCAAGATAGCGCCATGACAGATTATATATTTGACTTCATGCAGCCTTCCACCATATATGGCTGTTCTTCAGAGTGTCTCAGATCTTCAACCTGCAAGTCATTTAACTTCGATCTAGTGACACGAACCTGCCAACTCAACAGCAACAGCAGCTACCACACCAACGTCGTCTCCATACAAGACTATGTCTTCAGTGACATTGACTTGTGGCCTTCTGTGAGTTCAATAGATCTATGTTTTTGTATAATTTGACCTTCGAGGTGCGATTGAAATAACATGTCATACAGTAAGTGTTAAGGTGCAGTTGCGCGTGACATCATCTGCTAATAATTTCTATGACCTCTGTTCAAAGTCGCTACAAGTAACTATGGAGTGTACACGTCAATATGTGCTATATAATATACACGACCCTGTTACATCCAGCAGATCATAAACTATTGTTGAAACCGGTGGAAGCATGTATTCCTTATCTCATCTAAAAAGGCATATAAGAACTGTTGAATCGAATCGAAAGCAGAAATAGGTATGGGCGCTCGATGCTAGCACTATCAAACCCTGAAACAGCTTTATGTCATCAGATAAGTCCCCACGGTCCATAGTAAGGTGATCTACCTTCAGTTGTTGGCGACCTATAGCCTGTTTTTATACTGTATTGTCTTCATGAATAAAATAGTTTCATTTTTACATGCTAGTTTTAGACAATGCTAAATTAAAGTTTTGTTGATAAAAACCATTCGTCTGAATGTATTTTAGAAAACGAAACACCTTGCAGCAATGTGTTTTTGTGGCTTCAAATTTCGTTTATGTGATATTCTGACGCAGTTATTTTTGCAAGGCTGTTGAGGACAAATGTATATTCAGCCACAACGCTTCCACCACCCACCCCCAAATGTAAAGTGACCGGTCCCTGAGTTAATACTTGGCTTGTCATCGGATGTCAATGTGATATCTTGTTCATGTTTACACAGACTCTCTCTGGTTTAGTTTAAACATATTTTATTCACAATGTGAAAAGGATCGGTGACAAGATCTTTCAACTTATTAAACCCCTCTCCGAAGATATTTACAATAACTAATTACATCACAAGCAATTATTAGAAACAGAGACAGAGAAAGACTGAAAGATAACAGGGGGAAATGCTATAATACAAAAGGTGTATAGAGAGCAGACTACTGGAATCGTTTAGATTTGCATATGTATTGATGTACATTTTTGAATATAATTTCATTTTTATGATTTGTCAGATAAGCAATGCCGTTTAAAATAACAGATAATGTAATCACAGAATTACTACCACATACATCTTGAATAGCTTTAAGCATGATCTTTCTATGTTGATTGTATAAAGAACATTCTAAGAAGTAGTGATGAGCATTTTCGCATGGGTTTCCACATGCGCAGGATGGATCAGTGATTAGCCCTACTCTGTACAGATCGTAACTTAATCTACTAGCTTCATGTCGTATTTGTGTATGTAATATGTTAAATTTTCTAATACCGTAAGAAAAATACAGTGGAGCTGAGTTAAATGATGTTATTATGCTCGATTTAAACGTTGATAGTGAAGTACAATTTCTTACATCTGTAGGTAAATTGTTCCACAATCTTATAGTTGATGGGAAGAACGACTCATGAGAATGTTTTATTCTTGTTCTTGGCAAGCAGATATTGCCTGAATTTCTTAGATTATATTGACTCCTGGATCCCAGTACTGAGGAATTATTTCTTTTAGGTAAATTGGACTTTTGTTGTTTTGAATATTGTAGAACAAAGACAATTTTCTTATTTTTCTACGCTCTGATAGTGCTTCCATGCCTGTTTCATAATACAGTGAATTAAAAGAAGAATATTTGGGAAGTCCTGGAATAATTCTTGCAGCTTCCATCTGGAGCTTTTCCAATTTTAAACTTAGTTCTTTTCCGCAGCCATCCCAGACTTCGCATGCGTACTCAAAGTGGGGTCTTATAAAAACTGTGTAAATCTTTAGAAGTGTATTTCTGTTAAGAATATATTTAAGTTTTCTCATTGAGTAAATCATTTTAGAGGTTTTGGAAACAATATTAGATACATGGGAGGACCATTTGCCGTTCGATGAAAGTATTATCCCCAAATGTTTATGATCTTCTACCGTTTTAACAATCTTATCGTCAAATAGTAAGTTAATCGAGCAAATATCATCTTTAAGTGAGAAAAGTACTGATTCTGTCTTATCTGGGTTGTATGATATCAACCACTTGTTTGCCCAGTCGTTTAACCGTCTGAGATTTATGTTTAATGAGGTTTCTATTCTGTTAAGATTTCCCGAAGCCTTGCCTAATGATGTGTTATCTGCAAATAGTCGCGTTATGCAATCTAAGTCATCAGCAATATCATTTACAAAAACAATGAATAAAAACGGACCCAACACTGATCTGACGCCAGCTTGGAGTAACCTTGGTTTAGACAGGGCTCCATTAACAAGGACCTTTTGATAGCGATTACATATGTAATTACATAACCACTCTAACAATCTACCTTTAATACCATACATTTCCAGTTATTTTTGCAAGGCTGTTTAGGACAAATGTATATTCAGCCACAACGCTCCCACCACCCACCCCCAAATGTAAAGTGACCGGTCCCTGAGTTTATACTTTGCTTGTCATCGGATGTCAATGTGATATCTTGATCATGTTTATACAGACTCTCTCTGGTCCATGTGCAGAGCTCCAATGTCAGCCTGGATACCGATGTAAAGTAAACAGACTGGACCGTCCAGCTTGTCATCAAGGTCAGCTTCGCCACAGTATGAAGAAACCCAATGCCCAGGTGGCACAAATAGCATTGCTAAGAAATAATTTTTGAAAGGGTGGTGACAAATAAATGAAGATTTCCTTGTTGTTTAATGCGCACACATCAATATAAGTAATCAGCGACTGAACATCGATCAGTGCCATAGGTATATGTTGGCATGTACCAACCTGTCTGTGGGTATGACCATCCGATCCTCTTAGTATCCTGTTTCAACCAGCAGAGTGGTTTCTTACATGGCTGAAGACCGATTCTAACCCTGATCTTCACGGGCATTATGAATTTGAATATATTAATTATACGAAAACAATAATAACTCAGAGTCCTAATATATTATCGCTGCAAAAGTAAATTTGTCTTGTTGAATTCTATCTCAATCCATCCAAGAAAATTTATTACACTGTCATTGATGGTTACTGCATTTGCTAAACATATATCATATCCTTGATGACATAATTATTTCATTTTCCATAGCAGTCAAAAAGGCCCCTTAAAAAATAACAGTATGTCAAGCAGTATGTTGTGCGACAGCCAGTGTCCTCTTTTTATTGCAGAATTCCCAGGTTGTGGCTCTCCGCCACCATTGATACCAAACAGCGAGGTGGAGTATGATGGACATTACATTGGAGCCGAGGCTAAGTACACCTGCGCAGACGACTTCCTGTTGTGTCACAAGAACACCACAAACGTGTGTCAGTCATCGACGGGCAGGTGGGAGGAGCTGACTGACCTGTGTGGACGTTTCAGATTCCAAAATGAGGTGAAAAATAATCTTTCAACAACGATATCAACCAAAAATGCCCATTGTAAAAATATTTCATGGAAAAATGTGTGATATAGTCTTTCTTGATTTTCTTTGTGTCGTGATGTGACATGTTTCTTGCCACATTGTCAAGTAAAACCCAAATACAACAGGAAAATGATTTTTTTAACCGTGACAACCTTATAGATACTTACCCCATTGTCTGAATGTATTTCATGATACGGGTCTGAGCCGATAATGACCATTGTAAACAGATTTCATGGAAAACATGTTTGATATAGTTTCTTGGGATACGATTCCCCAATCTGTACAACGAATCTCTAATGCATCAATATGTAAAGCAACATTACAGTCTGTGTTCAGTAAAAGCATGCTGCTGTATGATGTACTTCTCATTAAGATACGAAAGCTCTACATGGACAGAAAAGACAGACGGCTGTTCGTTTGCTTTTTAAACCCAGTGGTAAAGTGTCAGAATGATGTATGATGTTTATATGGTAGACCCACTACCAGATTTGGCAAGCCGGGTCGAGGTCTTGACTCAATCTGCTATGACTTTATCTACATAGAGCTAGTATAAGGGACGTGTTGGGAACTTTATATACTACTACAGGTCCTGACACAGCGGCAAACTTCGCAAATTGTTTTGGACATATGCAAAACATTCGGAAACTGCAACAACATATTCTTGTCAAGGGTGTACCAGCAGTGAGACCTTCATGTACGGATATCTCCCGTCTTGTCCGGTCCACAGCCGTCCTAGCCAAGTTCTTACTGAGTCTACCCGCACTGAGCTGCCTGCATTACCATGAAGTTTGTTCTACGTTAAGCTAATGAGCCGGTCCAACCATGGCTGCTGCTGAGAGATAGAGTGCTGCAGAATTTAGCATACACAGAATCAGATGATTCAGAAAATGACCCAGTTATTAGAGGAAAGAATTGGAGAAGTCACTTGATATGGCCGTGTTTACAGAGGATTGTTTAGCTGGGGGCCCTATAACTGACTGATATCTGAACTACGTCCGGAAGACGCTCCATTCTTTGTCACCTTCCAGAGAGAACACCACCAGAGATGTATGATGAGCACCTTGCCAGAGTTGGCCCAAGAATAACCAAGAACGATACACTTACCACTGGAAGACAGTAACCGTGCTGAAGACCCTGATTCGATTCCCCACCTGGGTACAATGTGTGCCCCGCCGTGATATTGCTGGAATATTGATAAAAGCAACCTAAAACCATACTCACTCACTCCATCACCTTGCTGCATTTCAGTGACCTATTTTCTCCTACATGAAACTGACACACTATGAGAAATTTCAAAACTGATTTAGCCGTGGCGAGCCAATTCACTCAATCATAGGTTTAGATGATGTGTTATACTTTGATTTATTGTTTTCAGTCTTTTCACTTTGCTGCATTTTATTTAAGATTATCTTATGTTATCATCCAGGGCGTGGTACATTTCCCCTGTGGCCAAACAAGTCACTTCACTGCGACTATCAAAGGAATGCTCACGGGTGAGAGGTACGGGTGTATTAATATCAACATCATGTGGTGAGACATTCAGCATTAACGTATTAGTGATACTTGGTATATCTAACATTGACATTCCATTACTTGGTCATTGTATCCTTCTCATGGAGGCATTAGGAGACTTCAAAGTAGAAGTGCTGTTCTTCATGAGACGCTGCCCAGCAATCTTAACAGAGTTACGCCCCTTAGCCGTACTAATCCAAGGAAAAGAAAAGAGATTCTTCCTCAATATTTTGGCCTGTATCATTCCCAGGTCTCCCATGATTCTCATATTTTGTGACTTCAACAAGACAAAAGTGGTTACATTAATTGACAGGTTAGTTGTTTACTAACAAGCAGTGTTTGAAATGTTGGAGTGTCAGGTAGACTGCAAAGTGTGGTGGTGTTAAACGTCGAACTGCTAGTGTACTCAACGAACATGTTTGCTTTGCTGAATGAATGGAAATTGACTCATTACATCTCATTGTCCAAATTAATTACTTATTGGTGCACATTGAAATTTTCCTATCCAAACAACAAAATAGCAGCTTTCATTCTAGATTATATTATGGATGATGCGCCCTGGCTAAATCATGTGAAACCTATATTTTGTAAATGCGGCTTACCGGATGTATTTGTAAACCCCTTTCATTATACTCAATCCTGGATCATATCAAAATCTGAATCAGTCCTGAAAGACCAGTTTTTACAATCGTGGACCAGTGAAATGAATAACTCATCTAAAGGACAATATTATAAGATTTTTAAAAACTCACCTTCACTGACAAATACTTACTGCTATCTGAAAATATTTGGAAACCTATTCTATATTTTAAAACATCTAACCATAAATTGCCAACAGAAAGTGGGAGATGGACGAATCTCGCAAGAAAAGAAAGAGTATGTAATCTATGTAACTCGCAGTTAACTGGGGATGAATTCCATTATATCTTTAGTTGTTCATATTTTAGCCAACAACGCATCCCTCACCTAGAAGATAGCTCTTGTTCCTTCCCTAATCTCTCTACATATAACAAATTGATGTCAAGTACTAAAATTTCAACAATCAAACACCTATCTAAATTTATAAAATGTATATGTTCTAGTTTTCAGTAATCATTGCGTATATTCCCTGTCACCTTCTTGCATACTTTGTATATTCTGCATTCCATTTCATGTACTCAGGTACCACCGGAGGTGGTTCCATTTTGAGTACATGGACTGAGTGTGTGTGTTAGAATACCTTTCAACTGAGTATTATTAAGAAACCCATTTAGGATGTATCTTTCTTCATTTTACCTGCACCATTAGGAACTGATTTGGTCAGGAAATATTCCCAATGTTTAAAACTCACTTTGGCGTTGTTTGATTGCAATGTATCATAGTCTTGTCATTTCAGAATGCAAATATCGGTTCGATCCGATGGAGGCACAAATGCTACATTCCATGTGAACTTTAAAGTCGACACAAACTCAATCTCTTACAATACACTTTTCGGGGCCTGGGGCCCTGCATTGAATGTGTCACATATGACTGTTACGCCCAACACGGAATTTAACATTAAAGTCCAACTCAAGGAAAGGGTTTACACGGTAGGTGGACTCATGTATGAATCCGGGTTAGATTGACACTTAACGGCTTGTAAATTGCATCGGGTCAGCAGGCTTTGTTGATTGTGTCGATTTGGCGCATCAGTCCATGGATATTTGCCCATAATATTAACCACTACTTTGCCTCCTATTGGATTATTATAATGCAATCACTAATTCCTACAACAGTTTTTTAGTAACTTTGAGTGAAAATACATCGATCCGATAACGACTAGAAGGAATTAATTTCCAAACTCATAAACGCTGCCATGTTTGCATTGTTGTACATGAGAGCCGAAGTCAAATTCAGTAATTATTGAACATTTCAAAGAAACCCAAAGACAGTATTGTATCCAAAGAAAATCGGCTTTAATTGTAAAAGTTCTTGATCAAATCATGTGTATAATGTAGACCAATGTAGAAGTATCTTGTGTGCTGACAAGGCGCTAGTGCAGTTCATAAATTGGATATAATATTGCTAAGGTAAGACGTTTCCAAGTGGACATCAAACATATGATAAAACCAACTGTGGGGCATACTTTCATTTGTTACTCAGTTGAACATTTCAACACCGGCGCATCGTAGTTCCTACACTGATCCAAACTGTCGTGTCCAGAGGAACTTTGACCATCTGCTAACAATGTAGATACACTCATAATGAGATGGTAATGCATCTATATTTACAATGCACTAAACAGAAAATTGTGATAATGTAACAGCTTATGAACCAAAGTCACTCATGCTGTAGTTGATGCTCCTTTAACTTTTTGTCTCTTCAGATGGAGATAGATGGTGTTGCTTTCCCGCCTTTCCCGGAGAGGCAGGCTAACAGTCAACCCGACCTAATGTACATACGCAGCGACGTCCAGGTGGGCACTGTTGTCGTTCAAATATGATGCTTCAATGACGTCCTTCCCAAGGGCAGTGCCTCGTGTATACGATGTGATCTCGTACATAATGTCTCATCCATTACACCGCCGAGGGACGATATATACTGAAAGTGTGATAATCGTCAATCAGTTCAAGGCTAGGAGTGGTGTTCCAGGTCGATCGAACGGCAGCACTGCGATAATCCATACGCTTGTTGACAAACAATCATTGTGATGACTTTGTCAAGATCACAAGTAGTGTAATGTCTGTTTTATCTTATTTTGAGTACCGGTGTGACAGGTTTGGAGTGAGGACTTGCGAGCAAGAGCAGTGATGTAAGCGGTGAGCGATTGTTTGTGTCGAAGGTGTGCAGTATGAGAGACCATTGTATGTATCTGGGTAGTAAGCTTGGGGTCAATCAAGCAGCTTGGGGGTATATAAGGACTGATTTGAAAGTTGTGAGTTGGCAACCAGTTGGACAGTGTATGTGTGTGTCAGGTTGGCTGTTTTTCCTGTATATTCAACTGGTGTGAGTATTATAATTTTATGTTATGTATTAGTGAGAATAGGTCAATGAATTGTTTGTATATGTATTGAGATTTGATGGCATTTCACCTTAAAATATGTAACTTTAACTTAGGTGAAATATATGTATTAGTATTGTTGAGGTTAGTAATATGATGGAATTGTGATTTATATGAAAGCATTTGGGAATGCCCCTAAGCTAGTATACTGGCGTAATAATATTCAGTCAGCATTCATGTGTAATGTATACTAGGCACATAAAGAAACTGTGCATACAAAAATTAAAATCTAAATTTATCAAACCTGTGTAGACACAGAGATTAGTGACATGTGGGTTCGTCCTTGAGACGTGCAATACGTTGTTGCACGTGCATTCCGGGAAAGAGAAACAGAGCAAATGAATGCCACACAATACTGTCACTTTGTAAAGCTCAACCCCTTCTCTTTGCGATCGTTCAAAAAATTAAACGGCTATTGAAACGCATAGCATGCCAAGGCTCACGTCTGCACAACGTCATGAGGCCATTGGGATGGTCCGTGGGGGGAATGTCTCAACGACAAGTGGCTGCACATTTCCACTGCCACCGGAACACCATTTCTGCACTGGTGAGACGCTACCAGAACACAAATGACGTCATCGATCGGCCACGTTCTGGACGTCCACGTGTAACAACGCCAAGACAGGACAGATGGATAAGGGTGACCCATCTTCTCCACAGGTTTCAGACTGCAGTGATGACTGCCCGAACCATTCCAGGACTTCGCCGTATCCACCCCAACACAGTTCGACAACGTTTACGTCATCACGGGATCAGACCACGACGTCCCGCCATACGGCCTATCCTGACACAACGTCATCGACAAGCTCGCCGAATGTGGTGCCGAAATCATGTCCGCAGACCCTTGTTTTGGTCGAGAAATGTTGTTTTTACAGATGAGTCCAGGTTTAACATTCCCCATAGTGGTGAACGTCAACGTGCCTATAGACGCGTGGGAGAACGTTATGCACAGGCCTGTGTCCTCGAGAGGAATCGCTTTGGTGGTGGTTCCGTGATGATTTGGGGTGGAATAACAGCACGCCAAAGAACTCCTTTGGTGATTGTTCAGGGCAACGTAACTGGTGTGGGCTACAGGGATCAGATTTTTCGACCTGTGGCAATTCCTTTTCTGCAACGTCATGGCCCTGGGTTAACATTCCAACAGGACAATGTCCGCCCTCATACGGCAAGGGTTGCTATGGATTTCTTGCAACACCACAACGTTGACTTACTGCCTTGGCCTGCAAATTCACCGGATCTCTCCCCGATAGAGCATGTTTGGGACGAGATGGATGGACGTCTACGCCGTCTTCCTCATCCGCCAGATAACGTCCTTGACCTTGCAACAGAACTTGAGAGAATCTGGCGTGACATCCCACAAGCCTTCCTTGCACGTTTGATAGGCTCTATGCGTCGCCTATGCACTGCTGTTCTCAATGCCGATGGTGGACATACCCGTTATTGAGCTTGTGACATGGTCGTTTGACCCCTGTCCCGCTTGTGGACTCGTGACGTCATTCTGATTGACTTTTCAATTGAAATTCTCCCAACTTGTTATGGTCTCATGATCCCTCCATTAAAGTTTATATGTACCTTTGACATTGTTATCGTACTTATCAACTGGGATAATATTTTGACAATGCACAGTTTCTTTATGTGGCTAGTATATAATGGTAGTATTGTGTATCAAGTGACTGTAAAACAGCCCTGTTAACACATCATGTGTGTGTGAAATGTATATATCGTGTATGTGTAAAGTCACCAAGTACATGGTGTACCTTTTGTATCCAGTGTCGGGGTAGGTGTTACACCCGTAAGGCTGTCCCGCCGATCGTGAGGAATCGATCCTGACATGCCGCCTGTGATGTGAACTGACATCTGTGTGTCTGGGGAGAGTGACGTGCCCCGCCAGTAAGGCTGTACCGACTGATCAGCAGGGATCAGAGTGACATGCCGCCGAAGTGTGTAAAGATTTACATGCAGGGGAAGGACCCCTAACCTACCACTACAGAACTGAACTGTTTGAACATCCCACATAACAACATCGACAGTTATTTGTACAGTATACAATACTTATTGATTTGTGCTCCAATCGTCCATGTATATAACGTAATGATATGAATTGCTGTTTGTTTCTTTAAAAAGACATTTGTAGTGTTGTGATATTTTAAGGGTTAATGTGAGTTGTGATGTGAATGTCTGTGAGTATATGTGAATGGTGAGGTATGATGTGTGTACTTGCGTGTGTAGGGGAAAGCGTGTGGGTGTGTTTGGTGATGTGAGAATGAAGTTGGGAATGCAAGTCTCTATGAACTATTGTAACTAAGGTAGATTTAGTTAATAAATTATATTAACTTTTAAATTTGGGTTTGTGTTTACTCTAGTATGTGACAGACTTGTTTGTTCCATTGTCGAGTGATAACATATGCATGACCATATTTGAAAATGGCACCTGCACTGACTTCATTATGCGTGTCACTACGTACAAAAAACTGACGCACAAAGTAAACTGTGAGCTTTTTCTTCAGCTTAGTTGTTTGTTTGTTTTTAATTCTACTTGTTCACGTCGAGCACTGAACAACAATTATCTTTACATTCTTTATATTTGCTCAAAGGATGCCTTGAACTGATAAAAATTCCAGCAGCCTATGCTTGTATTGGCTTGGTGATTTGGTTGAGAGCATGTCGTCGTACCCGATGACATAGATCAGTTCTTTTTACCACCAATTGCTGGATAATGTGGTACAGAATCGATTATTTACACGGAGTGCATATAGTTGAAATATTTACTGCGGCGTTAAACAAACAAATTAATAAATACATTATGATATATGGAAAATTACTTGGCGTGCTGTGTGGTCATTTCTACGTGATGGAAACTTCGAAAGCAGTGATGATAAAACCATGTAGCTTCACAAGGAAACCATTGAAGAATCATAGTGTCATATGCTGCACTGAAAGCTATACAGTACTGAACAGAAATTGTCGATATTTGTGACAAATGTCTATAAAAGTGTTGTGTAATATATACATCCAGTAAATAAGAGTTGCTGTATAATGGCTGAAACCCAGGATGGGAACGTGTCCATAATGGAGGTGCAAGACAGCGCCATCCAGTGAACATGTTCGTAAGAGTGTTGTCGAATAGGAACATCCGGTGAACATGTCCATGAGGGTGTTGTAGAATCGGGACATCCGGTGAACATGTCCATAAGAATGCTGTATAATGGTTGTCCATGCTGTCGTCGTAGTACATATCCTTGACTAATAAGCTTTGTTTAGGTTTCTGCCACGACTGTTCAGAAATTACCAAACGTTGATAGCTTCACGTCTTAACTCCTCTGTCTTCTTCTACAGATTGTACGTGTGGTGTGGTAACAATTTAAGGCCTCTGTTACAACTGTGGATTTTCTGGTCAAACATACAATAAGTTAACGTGGTGTTTTTATACATATCCTTTACAAAATCTACAATACAGAGATACCAATACTAAGGTACCATTTGGGATACAGCATAACTAGCACTTTTTGACTGAAGGCCGGCCAACAACAAACCGATATTCACAGACAGCTTGCATTAATCCTTTCAACAACATATATCAGTTTCAACACATGATTTTGTCACAACAATAGCGAGGCGACTCTTTCAGAGACAAGTAGGCCTAGCAACATCAGTATTCAGCGTTTTAAATGACTTCCCGCTGAAAGTGAGCCACTTTATCTTAAGATATTTCACACTGTTTGATATTGCTCTAGGGATTCGTGTCAACGTTTATGTAACAAATGCCTGTTCATCCATGCCAATCAGCTCATTATTACACAACTCCTAGGATCCCCGTAGTGATGCCAAGTGTGCTCCCTACACCTTAATGATAATACGGGTTTCTTTGTAGAAGACGGTTAAAATGGAGCTGGTTGCTAGACATTGTGGCTAGGTTGATTTCAGACAGCAGACACTTACGCTTAGTGCCATATATCAGGTGCATCTAATGCCAAATCAGAAAACTGGTCTATGTTCCTTATTTGACCTACCTCCCCCGGAGAGGGCATGTAAGTCCCATTTCATTCACAGTACTGTGAATTTAATCGTAGTATATATGTATTTCTAATGTATGGCTAAATTGCGCAACAATCACCAACATCTGAAGGAATGATGTAAATCCTGCTAGGGTCCATGTAAGCAGCAAAGGTACTGTAAGCCCCATGGTCCCTAGTATGGTGATCAACCTTCAGTTGCTGGTGATCTCCAGCCCGTTTTATATTGTATTGTCTCTAAAAGTTTGTCGAATTTTACAGTTACATGCTAGTTTTAATTCTCTGTCTGTGATATTGTAGTTATTTTGCTGCCCTTCTTTTCCTGTTTTTTACAATTTAATTGTGTTTATTATGAGTTTATAACTTTTGAAGTAACGATATGGCTGAAATGTTGCCAATGTGACTATAAATTTGAACTCACTCACTCATTATTTGACTTACCGGCAGGTATGTGTTCAATTTTCACCTATAGTATTGTGAACACCTGTTTGTTTCATCAGTATATGTTGCATGCAGTGCTCAGTACCCGTTTAGATATCACTGAAACAACAGCATTGTCCATTCACCTGTTATTGATTGAGTTACCCTTGAACAATTGGCAAAATAATGTTTGTATTATTGTATTAACACCATCAACTTGCTCACGACCAAGTACCATTGATTTGGCCCGGGGAGCTGGAAACTTTTTAAAAACGAAAATAATATGTATTTTTCTTATTTCTTCTTCTTCTTTTCATTTATTTTCTCTCTTTAATGTAGGATATGCCGTCCATTCGATTTATCGTTAACAAGTACGCATTGTGCTCTGTAATGAACAATCTGTCAGTTATTGGCCGCCACCGAGAAAGTGTCCCACCTGTTAATAGCGCTGAATTCCACGCCGCACGGCCATGTTCTAAGAAACGTGAGCATGAAACGTGACACTTGCAAGTGACCAAGTACCTTTGTTGTGTACTGAAGAGATGGAAATTATATGTATTTTTCCTTTTCTTGTTTCTTTTAATTGTCTCTCTTTTATCGAGGATATGATTTCAATCGTTAACAAGGATGCATTGTGTTCTGTAATGAACAATCTGTCACCGAAGAAGTATCCCACTTGTTAATGAATATAATAATAGAAATAAGGCCACTTATATAGCGCTAAATTCCATGCCGCACGGGCGTGCTCTAAGCGCATGCAACATGATGGACATTATTATCCCGGATAACACAAACAGCCTGTGAGGCG